ATTAAACATTTAAAACAAAATACCACTTCAGTAGTTAATTCTGCAACAAAAAAATCTAATTCCTATACAAACTAAGTTTTTTTTTAGTTATATTGCTGTAATTTAAAAATACTATTTGTGGGTATTTGAAATTTCTAGAGCATACTTTATATTTTAATTTTAATGATTAATGTCGTTAATTACTTATATTAATACTTTATAATAAATGTTTATAATAAGAATGACTGAGTGAGTCGGGTACATAATGAATCTGATTTGATTAATTTGGAATTTATATTTTATAGGTACCTACATTTTTTTTTTTTTTCGAATAATACCAAAGCAATATAATAATAATAATATAGCTTAAAACTATAAAATATCCTAGACAAACTGTCTCCGCTTAGAATAATTTTTCGTATACAAATTATATAATATCATTGAATTTAAATTTAATACCATCCATTAAATTAACCCACTTGTAAACTACTGTACAGCTGAATGACATTTACTTACCTGCATTTTTTATTTTATTTTGAAACATTTTTCTTTGTATGTTCAATGCATTTTTTTTGCCAATTCTAGATTTATAAATGCATATCTCATTGATTTTACTKCTATAAGTTTTGATCCTTAATAATTAAATATTATTTTTGATTTTGATTTACATAAAAATTAAGTCAGTATGTTATCTGGTGGTTGGTCTAAGCATTCTTCAATGCTGCAGTCTCCTACTTAACTGTACACAAATAAGTAAAGTTTAAAAATCAATAATCACAAAATAAACAATAAGAATTTACTTAAAACTATGTTGAATCAAAACATAAGATCATATAATAAATTCTATTGTCTAATTAATATGCTGGGAAAATTAATGGTCAACTAATGGTATTATGCTTGAATCTGAGACGAATTCATGGGTTTTAGAATGTGCATTTTAATTTTTTTACTATTTAATAGTAGAAAAAATTCAACTTTAAGTGGTTTCTGTTTTCTGCAAGTAAATCATATCTAGTCAATACTTTTGAGAAGGAAGATCATAAATTAAATAATTACCAGTACTCAGTAAAATAATCAGGACATTTTTCTTTTTAATTCAAAATGAATAGCTAATGACTTGAATTTGCATCAAATACTCATAATTACAATCATCTTTTAGACCTAATGTAAATTTAAATTTTGCTCATTCAATACATTTTATAATTTAAAATATTAAAAATATATAGGAATAATTCAGTAAATTCAAGTTTAGTTAACTAAGATGTTAATAGGCATTAAGTTTTCAATTTTGTATGTTAAAGCTCAGCTAAAAAACTTGAAAACGTAAAATAAAATCCACAACCACAATATCATCTTGATCTTAAGGTATCTTACACCAATTAAAAATACAGACATAATTTTTTTTTACAAGAATTTTATAAAAATCTTATAGTGAAAATATTTTGATAACATTTTAAAAATAAATGAAGACATAAAAAGGTTTAGTATAATCTTTTTGATATTAATTCAAATAAATATCCATTAAAGAYTTTCTCAATAAAGAGATAAACTCAACACCTAATAAATAGTAAAATAATTTTTTAGGCTTTTAAAATTGCTATTTGCTATGGATTTATCTTAAAAAATAATGTTACAACTGAGGATATTATATTTCATACTTAGTATTACCCATCATATAATTATGAAAGATGTAATGAATAAAAACTTAAGTAGAAAAYATCAACATTATTTTCAATTGTATAATGATATAAAAAAATACAGTAATTATAGACAGTAAGGTAAAGTTTATGAAATAATTATACTTTTATTGTTTTTCCTTGACAGTTTTGATAATTTTTTTTATACATTATCTATGCTATTGGGCTTTGGCCAAGATTACTTCAGACTTCTTAATGTGTATCTTATTTTGGTTTGAGAGCTTGAGTGAAATTTATTTTTAAATATATCTTAGCTTCCTGTGAACAGCTTTACCTTAATATGGATCATCTGTTTTTATGGTTATATTTATAAAGTAGAATTTTAAAAACAATGCAACACAACTCAATATTTTATTGAATAAAATAAATATCATCTCCCATATTTTTACCCTCATTAGTTCTGAAAACAAATGAGTCATGGGAAGTTATTTTCACTTAGAAAATGCATAAATAATAAATATCATATGAGAATTTTAAAATTTATGTCCTAATCAGTTGGCTTATTTATAAAAGATTAACAATAAAATTATACTAAAATAAAGATGTATTAAAAGTCAAGAGTAGACAATATCTCATTTCATTTATTTGTCATTTACTCAATTCAATAACATGGTTTTGAGCAAATAAAACAGTAATCAATATAAGAATTTAATAAATTGTTTTAATATTCCATTTGCACAGTACGTATTTACCTCCAGAAATTTCAACAGAGTTAATAATTGATTAGGCGATGTTTTAAGAACTATTAACTAAATGAAATAATAATAAAATTATGTTGAAAGAAGCTCTAAATATTTTAAGATAATCAATTTGTATAATATATAAGAATAATAATTAAGATAATAAATGTATTAATAATTAATGTTTGGCAATTTTTATTTCCTTGAATTGTAAACAATCCAATAAATTAATATATAATATATTGCATGGATTTTGTTAGAATTTCATTATCTATAAAAAAAAAATTAAAAAAAAAATTTAGTTTATAAATTATTATATATATATAACATTTTTACAAATAATAATTCAATACGCACCAAAATTGAAATAAATGTCTGCATTACTATTTCTTTTTTTTTGCGCAAGTATCACATGGAGGTAAAGGCACATTTATATGAGGTTGTTGAACAACCATAGATTTGTATCAAACGATTGTCTCATATTAAAACCTGGTGGTGGTGGTGGTGTTGTATATAAATTGCAATGTGGAGTTGCTGTAACTATTGCTGGATCTATTGATGACCAATCCAAATCTGAATAGTATGAATTTACATTACATAAAACATATGWGTTGTATATATTAAGTTTATAATTTGTTGACACTCACTATGAGAAGATGACTGACGTAATTGTTGTTGTAATGCAAATGGATTATTTTGTGGTAATTTATTAGTGTTACCTGTATATAAAATACAAAGTTAGATATTGAACTGTGGATGTTTTGATTCTCTAATTTTTTTATTTACATTCATGATCTTAATAGATACTACTCAATGCATCAACAATACTCAGATGATTAGTCGTTATTTTAAATATATTATATAATTAGAGCTGGAATTTTTTTTATGCACTCAGCATTGTTTTTTAACATTAACTACACTGYTCTCACTTATAAGTATAAGTGTATATAGTATATATACTACTACTACTATATATAGTATATAGTTATAAGTATTTTTTAATCATAAGTTTAGATTATGACTTTTTTTAACAATATTTTATTTAAAGGTTATGTTTTAAGCATTGGGGTATTTTGCATTAAAATTTTATTTWATTTTTTTAATTTTAAGGTTTGCAAAAAAATAATTGTTTTAATTTTATATAACTGAAATGTTCTGCCCCACTAAGCAAAAGTGCTGTAAAAATCAAATTATTAGTTTTGTATTTTTCATTTATTATACCTTTATTATTCATTAGTCTATTTCTCTATTTRAATTTTGATTAAGTATAAAACATATCCACATTTATAGTTTTTTTTTGACAAGGAATGCAATGAAATAATAATTTAAAAGTATTATTCGCTTATTATACAAATAAAAGTTACTTTTATGTTATTACTTGGCAATATAAGCTGTTAATACTTTTATGTATTAAGGATAAATGCTGTAAGCAAATTTTACGGCATTATTGCTTAAAAATAATAATTCATCTAAAAATGTATTTACTAGAGTGACATGCAGTATATAAATTTATATAATTAAATTATTTAAATATGAAAACAAATTATATCAAGTACAATAATTATAAACATGAGTTTTATTACAAATAAATAAATTTTATCGTTAAATTAAAAAAAAAAAATAATTGTCTAATAATTATGAATTGGATAATGCATTATGGTTTTATGACAAACTTATCAATTTTATTTCCAAATAATATTRAAGATAGCAATTTGAAAACTATTAATATATTATATTGCCGTTAATTCAGAAAAAAAGTCAAAATGTTAGATAATCGCCGTAACTCAGGTAGAACATGAAAATGTTATRCGAAAACGCTGTATCTATAAACATATTTACGACGTTTATGCTTAGTAAGAGTAAGATGCAGCATTCTTACTTAATATTTCTAAATTTTTTTTGTTACCTACCTACCTGGAGTTTTTAAATCTAGATAATTGATTTTATTGCCTGTTTAAAATAATTTTAGGGATATTTTATTTATATTTATAGTGTAAAACTGATAAGATTATCAGATGTCGTAACTAACTCTATTTTTTTTATTTTTTTCGAGTTACGGCAYTTTTGCTTAGCAGGGCAGTATTATGAATCATTATACAGTAAAACCTCTCTATTACGGACCCTCTATTAAACGAAATCCTCCTTATTACAGAAAATGTCAATAATCCTAGTGCAAACATTATATTTAATTTCTACCTCTCTATGACGGAAAACTATTTATATTGGAGATTTGGAGAGATGTTTGGTTCTTTGCAATTCTGTTATAGAGCGGTTTCACTGTATCTCAAACAAATCTGTATTATGTAAAAATCAAGCTTATAAGTGGTAACAGAAAATTAAATGGGAATAATATTTTTTTTTCCAGATAAAATGCAGTTCTGCAAAATTTTTAATTAAATACAATTAAGAAATATTTTATGGTATACAATTTGTTTAAAATGAAAAATGAGGTGTTTTATTACTGAATTATTTCAAATGTTTAAGGTATTACATTCCTAGACCTATAAATAGTTGATTTCATAATAATTGATTGATGCAATTTTGTAATATTATTATTTAAACATTAATTTTTAGAATCTGAAGTATATAAAATTTAAAATTACCTGTGTTACGAGGAATACTGATACCATAGGAATTGACTTGATTAGGAGCCGATGAAAATCCAGGAGGCGGTAAACATGTTCTTGTTGGAGCTGTATTGTTTATATGAAGATTATCCATTAATTTTGTGCAATAAGGAAACCTTAAAAAAATAATTGATAGCATTGTTAGACATATAAAATTGTAGTCAGTCATTTTTAAGCAAGGCATCATTAAATTGTATTTGTACCCGGAATTTTGAAGTCTAGATTGATACATATTAATATGATTTTGTTGTTCCATATATTCTGAAAGTGCACGTTGTGTAACCGAAACTGAATCAAATATTTCATCATCTGATGGTAAATTTAACTGAAATACACAAYAAATTCATGAATACACTTTTTTTAAATATATTTATTTATATATATCATACAAACCAATGTATTTGATATTTACCATTGTTCTATTTAAATCAGAAGATGGATAATTATTCTGAGAATTATTACTACTATTTGAGAAACCAAATGCTGCTTGCCAATCTTCAGATGTTTGTACTTGTGGTAGGACATCTGGTATTGGAGGTAAAATTGCACTAACTGGAGGACTCCAATCGGGTTCACTGTTTATTACTGTACACAATGRATACAAAAAATGAATACTGCAGGGGTAAATTAACAAGTATAACAAAACATTATCTTACCAGGACTGGTTTTACCATTTGTTAATTTAGAGAAATTTGAAGAGAAAAATGAATTATTGTTATCTTGTTCAAATATTGAAGCTGGCTTTTGTGGATTTTCAAATAATGATTCTAAATAAAGTAAAATCATAAAAATAAATATTATTRTTAGAGTAAAATGTTAAAGAGTTCAAAACAAGAAAAAGAAACCTAACAATGAAGGGAGAAATCTAAATTGAGAATTATAGAGGGAGACAGTTCTATTATAATGATTTAGATTAACATTAAATAATTGTTTAAAAAATTTTCATAATTAGAATTTTTTTTATGGAGAGATATTTTATTTCTTTGCTTAAAATGTGAGCAAAAATCTCATTCCTTGTTCTCAAGAATAGAAAAAAAAAACAGAAACGGTACAAAAAATGACGTTGAATTAAAGAGGCAAAAGTTTAAATATGGCTGGTAAAATATTTAGTAAGCAAATTGTTTGGTTTTGGTAAGTAATAATAATCATAAATACCAAGATTTTAAAAACATYRGATGTTCTAATAGAAAAGCTCCTTCCCACAAAAAAATAAAAATAAAATAGCAAGTAAAAGCTTTAACCAGGCTGGAATGAACCAGTGAATTACAGAAAAAGTCTCAGATAGGTCACATAAAAATTAAGCCAGAAGCCAAAAACTAAGCAGTTATTATTTTCAAGTAAGAGTAGTCTAGCTTTTCTAGATAGTGGTTAATATTAATTCAAATAAATGGTTAAAATGTATAACTTACATAAAATTAAAAATAATTAATTAAACATGGTTATACATAAAATTAAAAATAATTAATTAAAAATGGTTATACAAAGGTGCTTTGATAGCTTTTTTAAGTGCATAATATGAAGTATGAAGATAAGTAAAAAATAAAAAATTGACTATGCTTAAGTATATTAAGTAACTTAATACAATGTATTGAACAATCTGTAAACATGCTAAAGAGAAAGGATTATGAAATAATGCATACCAACATAAAGTGTGATACTAAAKAAATTAAATTGGAGTGTAAATAAAATAAGAAATAAGGTACATTTTATATAAAATGCTGCAATAATCAAATAATATTAGATAACCCTGTATAAAAATAAGCTCTAAAATAGAACAAATACGTCTAAATCATCATGAAAATTAATTATTAACAAAACTTAATCTCAATTTAAAAAAAATTGCATTGGTCAATGAGTACTTGTCTACATGCCCCCGAGATAATAGTAATAGAAAATAAATAAAATTATATTTTAGACAGTTATAGATGACCTAAGTTATGTCAAATTCAATGTTAAGTGAAAAGTGTAATAAATTCAGTACATACCGCTTTGGGTTTCGTTTTCTAATTGGTTATTGCTAAGAGATGGTTCATTATTCCAAATTTCTTTAATCAAATTTCTTTTATTTTCAGTACATTCACCATCTAATGTACTTAATTGTTCTTCTTCAGCTGAAGGTATAGAACTTGGAGTTTTGACCTTACCTTTCCTGAAAAATACAACATTGTAATTAGTAAAGTTAATATTTTTAAATCATTAAAAATAAATTAACTACAAACCTATTTTCTGGTGAACTAGATTTCTTTTTGTTTTTATGACCATTGATTTTAACATTTTGAGATTCCCCTTTTTCTAAAGTTTTATCAGAGTGTGAATTGTGATTAGTTAAATTAAATTCAACTTCATATAATTTATCATCTTCAACTATATAAAATTGAATCAATAAGTATACAATAATTGTATGATGTCAACTAATATAAGTAAATAAATAATTTACCTGGGGAATCATTGCGTGATGTACCATTATTGAGAGAAGGCCAAGATTCTTTGTTATTTTGTGACAAATTTTCAATCATACCATTATTACCTGAAGAAATTTGAATAGGAGGAGAATTTTCTGGTCTTCTACTATACAGTGAAATAAAAACAAAAGTGAAGAGCTAATTTTGAATGATAATAATAATGACATACCTTAACACAACATTGTATTGCTCATATAATTTCTTTTCATATTCTTGATGTCTACCCTGCTGCATTTCATCTTTTGTAAAACTTGCTTCTGGTTCTCCTATAGATATATTTATTCATATTTATAAATAAAATAAAGTATGCAATAATTAACTATTTACCCATATCGTGTAAATACATGCAATCAGTTTTTGGACAAGGTTGATTTTTCATAAAATTTGAACAATATTTTGTTGTACCCAAAGATGCTTTTAATATTCTATTATCTATAATGACATTGTTGACAGCAAGTATAGCCCTAAGCGCATCTTCGCATCTTGAGTATGTTACATAAGCACTTGCACTTGGACCCTGAGAATTAAAAATACATTTGAGATGGTAAATATATTTATGAAGTAAAAAATAATATTATTAGAATAACTATGTTATTTTACCTGTGTGCCAATATACGAAGTACTTTGATTTATAACAACTTTTAATATTTTCCCAAATTTTCCAAAATATTCATGTTTCTTGAGCGTCTAAAATGTCACAATATTACCAAATATAGTCAAATTCAAATAT